AACAGAACACAAATAAAATGTAAAACATAACTACAACTAAACAAGATTGCTGGGAGAATAACCTAAACCATGAACAGGGAATGACAGAAGAAACCAAAAGGACTGTGAAAGAACAGTGCTAAAAGTAACTGCGACTGTGGATGAATAATACGGCTGAATGAAGAAATCTAAGGGCATAACACATCTAGGAGAACGTGGGGGTCAAGGGTGAAGGACACACTAGGAGAAAAAATTAAATGGATGCTGGGGAGACAATGGCAAGGGGATATGGAAAGGACACAGGATGACATGGACAGGAGACAGGACATGACAGCTGTGATTGATGTGATTCCTTTTTTCTTCCAGCAAGCAGATATACAATTAAATTGAAAATAAATCCCTATGAGAGCCTCATATTCAAACCGGAAAGTGCAGCAATATTACAAATTCTATTAAATTTCATCATAAAACAAACATCTAAATTGCCAACGAAATGTAACAACTGATACCACACCCTGCAAGGCGCTGGTGTGTCCAGTTTACAGCAGATGACGACTATGTAGCAAAACTAGTGCCAGGATGGTAGAGCATATACCCACTCATCTTCACCGATGTGGCCGCCCCATTGGAGGAATGTGAGTCCTTACGTGCTGCTTGTTACTACTGTAAACAGCACACTCCATCTAACCTAATCATCTGAATCAACTAATTAACTCTAAACACCTGCAAGATTCCTGAGGCTTTTAAAAACTCCCAGCCTGGTTCATTACTCAAAACCACAATCATGGGTAAAACTGCTGACCTGACTGCTGTCCAGAAGGCCATCATTGACACCCTCAAGCAAGAGGGTAAGACACAGAAAGAAATTTCTGAACAAATAGGCTGTTCCCAGAGTGCTGTATCAAGGCACCTCAGTGGGGAGTCTGTGGGAAGGAAAAAGTGTGGCAGAAAACGCTGCACAACGAGAAGAAGGTGACCGGACGCTGAGTAGGAATGTGGAGAAGGACCGATTCCAGATCCTGGGGGACCTGCGGAAGCAGTGGACTGAGTCTGGAGTAGAAACATCCAGAAACACTGTGTACAGGCGTGTGCAGGAAATGGGCTACAGGTGCCACATTCCCCAGGTCAAGCCACTTTTGAACCAGAAACAGCGGCAGAAGCGCCTGACCTGGGCTACAGAGAAGCAGCATTGGACTGTTGCTCAGCGGTCCAAAGTACTTTTTTCGGATGAAAGCAAATTTTGCATGTCATTCGGAAATCATGGTGCCTGAGTCTGGAGGAAGACTGGGCAGAGGGAAATGCCAAAATGCCTGAAGTCCAGTGTCAACCACCCACAGTCAGTGATGGTCTGGGGTGCCATGTCAGCTGCTGGTGTTGGTCTGCTGTGTTTAATCAAGGGCAGGGTCAATGCAGCTAGCTACCAGGAGATGTTGGAGCACTTCATGCTTCCATCTGCTGAAAAGCTTTATGGAGATGAAGATTTCATTTTTCAGCACGACCTGGCACCTGCTCACAGTGCCAAAACCACTGTTAAATGGTTTACTGACCATGGTATTACTGTGCTCCATTGGCCTGCCAACTCTCCTGACCTGAACCCCATAGAGAATCTGTGGGATATTGTGAAGATAAAGTTGAGAGACGCAAGACCCAACACTCTGGATCAGCTTAAGGCTGCTATCAAAGCATCCTGGGCCTCCATAACACCTCAGCAGTGCCACAGGCTGATGGCCTCCATGCCACGCTGCACTGAAGCAGTCATTTCTGCAAAAGGATTCCCGACCAAGTATTGAGTGCAAAACTGAACATAATTATTTTAAGGTTGACTTTTTTTGTATTAAAAGCACTTTTCTTTTATTGGTCGGATGAAATATGCTAATTGTTTTAGATAGGAATTTTGGGTTTTCATGAGCTGTATGCCAAAATCATCAATATTAGAAACAATAAAAGGCTTGAACTACTTCAGTTGTGTGTAATGAATCTAATATATATGAACGTCTAATGTTTATCAGTACATTACAGACAATAATGAACTTAATCACAATATGCAAATTTTTGAGAAAGACCTGTATTCTGAATTTAACAGGCAGCCAATGTAGGCAAGCTAAGACAGGAGAGATATGATCTCTCTTTTTAATTCTCATCAGAACTCTAGCTGCAGCATTTTGGACAGGCTGAAGACTTTTAACTACATTCTGTGGACTGCCTGAGAGTAATGAATTACAGTAATCCAGTTGTGATGTAATAAATGTATGCTTCTAATCTTAGCAACATTCCGAAGATGGAAAAAGGAAATCCTACAAACCTGTTTAACGTGGGATTTGAATGACATGTCCTGGTCAAAGATAACACGAAGGTTCCTTACTTTGTTCTCGGAGACTAATTTAATGCCGTTCAAGTCAGGTGACTGACTAAGCTATTTCCTTTTTCTGAATTTCGGGTCCAAAGATGAGAACTTCAGTCTTGTCTTGATTTAAAAGCAGAAAGTTTTGAGTCATCCAATTTTTTATGTCTCACAAGACAAGCCTGTAATCTACCTAACCGATTAGGTTCATCAGGGTTAATAGATAAATATAACTGAGTATCATCAGCATAACAGTGGAAGTTTATCCCATGATGTCTAATGATTTTACCGATTGGGAGCATATATATAGTAAAAAGAATTGGTCCAAGCACTGAACACTGTGGTACTCCACCAGTAACCCTGGAGTATGAAGACTAGTCATGTACATTTACAAAATGAAATCTATCAGACAGGTAGGACTTAAACCAGCCTAGCGCTGTTCCTTTTATCCCTACAACATGTTCAAGTCTTTCTAAAAGAACACTGTGATCAACTGTGTCAAAAGCAGCACTGAGATCTAACAAGACTAGAACAGACACAAGATTGGAGGCCATGAGATTATCATTTGTAACTTTCACTAATGCGGTTTCAGTGCTGTTAAACTCTCTAAAACTGGACTGAAATTCTTCAAACAGATCGTTGATTGAACACTATTTTCTCCAGGACTTTGGATAAAAATGGAAGGTTAGATATTGGTCTATAATTCATTGGGTCATCTGGATCCAGAGAAGGCTTCTTAAGTAGATGTTTGATTACAGCAACCTTAAAAGCCTGTGGTATGTCTTCATTTACTAAGGATAGATTGATTATATCTAGAATGGGGGCAGTAACCAATGAAATGCATATTTAAATAATTTGGTTGGGATTGGTTCCAAAATGCAAGTTGAAGGTTTAGATGAAACTAATATTTTTGATAACTCTGAAAGCTCAACTGGACGAAAACAGTTCAAACACCTTTTACTCAACAATGGTAAACAGCTGCTGTGTTGTGGGGTGACGCACGTCATCACCAGGGGCATAAAGATGGAAAACTAGCTAACTTTTCACCATTTTCCTGCTTGGAGGCACAGCCACGAGACTAAGTATCTAGAATTACAAAGTCTCGTCGGCTCACCTGGATCGCAGCTGTAAGGCGATCAAACATCACCTTCTGGAGTATTTTCATTCTGGTAAGTTACAGATGATGTATGATTTTTTATACATTGTTTCTTTCCTTCAACAGCGACACGCACACAACACACACACACACACACACACACACACACGCATACCGGTAAGCTAATGCGGGCACACTGACGCACAACACAACTTCTCCTACTACAATTCTTCTGCGGGATGATAATTTTGATTGCTTTACTACAAAAACCAGCAAATGAAACATTTACATCTCATCAGGACAATTACATCCACTCACACCACAAACAAGAAAGGCTAAAATGTCTGTTGTGCAGAGCTGCGGTGGCAACACTGTCGTCGGTGCTCCAGTCTTGGGTCTTTCACATGGATCCAAACCATTTATAACCCTGATTTTGTCCACATACCAGTCCTCAATGTCTTTATTTAACATATACCTGTATATTCCGCATCCTTTTGGGGATTTTTACATGTTGTTTAACACCATCTTTCACTCAAATCCGCTTCTTCTCTGCAACATACTTTTTTTTCCATGGTTTGTTTACACCCGTCATGCCGCCACCATGTCTGTGCACATCCCAGAATGCTATGCATAATCACGTGTGATCACAAGCCCTATTAGGCATTCTGTAATCCTATTTGCCTCTATTCTATCCTTAGAAAATGTGTTTATTCTCTTTAGGTTAGCAAGCATGTAGATTTGATTATATTTAAAAAATGAAAAAGGGTCAACATTAGAGATTTGGAGCTGTGGTCAGACTCTGGTCAGTTACTAGATGCCGTAGTGGATAACTATAATTAAGAAAAGGTAATTAAAAAAGAAGAAGGAGTTTCCTAAACAGTGTCATAGTCATTTTTTTATAAGAGAAAATAAAACCCACAGGTTTGTGTGAACAGCTGCAGACTGTTGTTCTTTAGGAATTACCATCAGCAGACAAACACAGCTCAGCAGCAGGGAGCCATAGAGAAGACAGGAGAGGTGCTCTGCTTCAAACAGACAGAGCAGTGTTGGATTTTCCTGGCTACTAGCAAGAGACCAGAGAACAAAGGGTTTCCTGCAACCAGCCCATCGGAGCCACAGAGCTGTAGAAAGCAGTCTGGAAGAAAAGTACTAGCTAAATCTCATGTAAAGCCCCTAGTTTTGTTGTTAAGAGCTGCACATAGGTTTAGAATGAAGTATGGGACAAAACGGCTCCTATTGTATTGACAAAAACTTGGGATTGCAGATATATCCACGTAGGCTTTGATTCACAAAATCCGGGAGACTTTATCCTCATGCAACATTATGCATTCTGACTGAGGTCATGTTTTTTCCTGCATCTGCTGCTTGGATTTCCCCTATTTTCCCATTTCTAAAGAAACCTTTCACAGTCTGCAGCAGCTGAGCTACGAAAAGGGACCAAGGGGTCAAACTGACCTCATACGGCACTATTAAATAGGCATATCAAGATGACGTGAAACAGAAAATGTCAAGTTTTATGGCTTTGGAGAGCCGCAGCTGAGCAGTCTGTTAAGGGCGTTCTTTTGTTTAACAAATGTGACGTACCTGCAGCTCAAAGAACTTGCTGTATCTTCGGTAGATGACAAAGGAAGTGGAGTCAGAGTAAGTTACGTTGATAAGATACACCTGGTAAAGAAAGCACAAACAGATATGGCATGTTAGGAACAAAGGCAAGGCAGCTTTGTTTATATAGCACTGAAGCAATTCCAGGAGCCCGAACAGCATAATAAAAACGTTAAAATCATCGTGACAACATAAAACAGCAGACTTCCAAATCTAATTTAAATATACACAAATAAAATTAAGACCAAATTTAAATACAGGTAAAATTAGAAATTTAGAAGTAAGGAAAAAATAAGGTCAAGTTGAAGGGTGAGCTGTTAGCGCAGCATAAAAAACATTCATTCAAAGGCTGATGAATAAATGAAAGCTTTCAATTTTGATTTAAAAGTTTCTAGAGTCAGGGCACATTTGAAACTGATATCATCTGTGAGCAGCATAGTAGCTAAAAGCAGCTTCACCCTGTTTGGTTCTGACCTGGGGTTCTACCAGCTGAAGGATCTCAGAGCCCTGCTGGGGGTATGTGCTGCAAGGAGACCCAACATGTAATCCAACAAAGGTCAGATCTTCACAGATCTGCAGGGCTCAAATAAACTAACTAAAAGGATATTTCACAGAAATTTAGAAGACTAATATTTACATTTGTTTCATTGTTTTTAGTAGTTGAAGGTTACAATATTAGCTTACTGCCTTTGTGTGTCTACCCGTAATCTTATTATTTTTCATCCTCCCCCTCCCCTTCCCCCTTTCCACTTGTGCTTTAGCACGATTCTCTTGAATCTGCACTGTTAAACGAGGAAACAAATGGCATCCCTTATGTCAACAGTTTATAGCACTTTTTTGCAACACCACAGATGCATTTCAGGAAAACTTCCCTGAACGTAATGAAACAAACAAAAAAAGATCATCATCTCACCCGCAGACTTCTTTCGCATAATAAACAAAACACATCTGAAAGATTTCCAAGATAAATGTTTCATTTTCCTGAACAAACATTTATACTTTTCTGAGGGTTAACTCGTGCCATGAGCAAGTTGGGATGTCAGAAAGGCCTCTGAAGTTGCACTGCACTTTATTCCTGGAATAACACAACAATCCTGCAGAGGAAGCAAAGCATATTTCCATTTGTCGGCCTCTCCATATAATACTTGCAAACCTGAAATTGCAGAAAGTTCCTAAAACTACTTCTGCATCAGGTTGCTGATGATTTGCCAAAATCCCCCAAAGAGGACACTTCATGGAAGCTTAGTGACTGCCCGTCACCTCAGGCTGCTCCAGTGTGTATAACATAACTTTTTGTGCGTGAACAGTTTTTGTAAATGTATTTTCTTATGTTCATGTGTATTTTGTCTAATTTGTGTTATTTTAAAATGTGTTTTGTATTACTGTTCAGCAAACAAGAAATGTGATCGCTGTTGGTTTTTGGGCCGTGACTCGGCTGGTCCTTTTCCTCACAGGGGAGAGTTTCTCGGAGAGCAAGTTACGGCACTCGCTTTAACTTTATCACAACTGTACTTCAGTAAAAATGATGAGGCAGCCATCCAATTGTACCTTCTGCAGAAAAATGGTACAGAGTACATAAACAGGCCTGGATCACCTCCAGAAAAGTAACCAGAGTATTAGCTGACATAATCTGTGGGTAGCAGTCACAGGTAGAGCGAGTTGTCTGGTAATCGGAAGGTTGTAGGTTCGATCCTGGCTCCCGCCAGAGTGGTGCTGTTAGCCCGTCTTTCCTGCTGGTGGTGGTCAGACGGACTGGTTGTGCCAATGCTTTGCAGTCTTGCTTTTGTGCACTAGAGGTCGGCTGCGGCTACATCGTAGCTCATCACCGCCAGCATGTGAGTGTGTGTGTGAATGGGTGGATGACTGATTGTGCTGTTAAGTGCCTTGGGGGGTTGAAGAACCCTAAGAATGACTAAACAAATACAGGCCATTTACCATCATCTAATATAAGCTACCCCTTCCTGAGTCACCACCCCTGAAGCCAAATTTATACTTCTCTGTCAGCTCCAAAAGGGAGAGACACGCACGCACGGACGGACTGAGACGTTTTGCTCTCATACTTCTCCATCTCCTGGGGAGTGTTGCAAAGCAATTCCCCGCCACGACAACAGAGGGCGTAGCGTTGTTCTGTAGTATCCTGTCATGTATCCGGTCCAAGATAGTGTGTTTATATTGTGTTTTTTGTATTTAAGAGACTTTTTTACAAAGACAAATTTGTCACTCATCTTCCTCCACCTCTTCATGCGCTCGCCACTTCTAAACCTATGTTTCCTGTCATTTCCGTCCACCAATAAAACGTTTGCTGCGCATCTTTTCACTCCTCCAGTCACGGGGGAATTAAACGTTCATATTTCTAGAGTTTTTTCGCGAGGTACTCTTCAAGCTTCTCCGTGTCTGCTGCTAGTTATCCTCAGCTCTCTTTATGTTTTTGAGGACGCAATGGCGGCAGTGTGGACGACAGTGGTGCCCTGACCAATCACAAGCTTGCGTTCTCCGTCTCGACGGACGGATGTTTAGAAAAGAGAGCTCAACTCCGTCTGTTCTTGCGAGGGCTCTCCAGCAGGCCCGCAAGAATGGATAATGGCGTTGCGTGCATTCGTCCCGACACAGACGGAGAAGTATAATTTAGGCTTAAAACTTGGCATCTTCCTGTTGTATGAAAAGCAGGAAATACTGTGTGTGTGAAAGATGTAGCTGCATGACACATCTTATTCTAACTGACAAAGATGATGAAATAATTGGGTGTTTGCACCTAAATGTGTGATTTTGGAATGTGATCAAAACAATTTCAACAGATTGTCAGATTAATTAGAAACATGAAGCCGAAGTGACCCAGGTCAGTTCACTCAAAAATAATCCCAAAAAAACAGAATTTGGGATTTTATGTAACATCCGCTGTACCACCTTCTTACACTTTAAATGCCCATGAAAACAAACCTCTCTCTCATTATGTACGGCTGCTTTTCTCAGAGCATGACAAGTTTTAAGATTAAAGATTTGCATTATCAGTAAAAAAAACTCAATTAAAACTTGGTAGGGGGACTTGAGGTTTCTGATGAGCTCCTTTAGGGACATTTGGTATTAGATGCTGGAACAGGGAGGCTGTTTCAAGACAAATGTTATATGCTACAGTATTGCATGTCGTATGCCTGTGCCCAAGCCCAGCTCTGTGTCCTGCACCGCTCCTGACCTGAACTGAATCCACAGGTTATGAGTTACAATGTGTAAAACATCCATTCACTGCAGATCCATAACAATTAAATACAATACATGAATTGTTGAGTGAGTTCAAATACCAGGACAGGTAGTCATAAGGATGGATTTGTTTGTCTTCAATATGCAACTAAAACAAAATGTCAGTGCTACTCAGAGCCCATGTGCCACAGAGTCACTGGCAGGAAGTGATACTTAAACAGCATGAGCTAAAGACAAAGGGTTGCTTCTTTCCTCTCTTTAGTCGGACACGCATTGCTGGTTGCTTACCTCATAGATGAGGAGATTTAATTTTTCTCTGCATCCTTTTCCTCATGGGGATTTCCCAGTTCAACCTCTCATCCGGGTCAAAGCCCAAGAGATCAGCAGGAGATGGATGATGTGATTGATTCTAGGTCTCAGGTTAATCAATTCAATGGAAGAGGTTGGTCTAATTTATTTCCCCAGTTTTGCTGAGGCACACCTTATGGTTTATTTTGTTTCACTTTGACAATAAAGTTAAACCTGTGAAAATGTGATAAACAAAACATCTGTTTAACGTCACTCTATGTTAAGAAGACTATTATTAACAACAGACCACCAAATCTAAACTATTTTAAACCATCCAGGATCAGACATACCACAGAAACCCTAGTACAAATGAAATAATTATTTTACTTCCTTAAATGTGATCGAATGTTTACACCTCGAAAAAAAATAAAATAAAAACCTGACTTACTGGAAACCAAAGAGCTGTGAAAGTCTCAGTGAACAACTGAATACATTTGAATATTGTTTTGAATCAACAACATTTTGTCTATTGTCTTTATAAAATGGTATAATATGTATAAAAGCAGGCTGCGCAGTGGCACAGTGGTTAGAGCTGTTGCCGTGCAGCAAGAAGGTCCTGGGTTTGCTTCCCAGCCTGGGATCTTTCTGCATGGAGTTTGCATGTTCTCCCTGTGCATGTGTGGGTTCTCTCCGGGTACTCCGGCTTCCTCCCACAGTCCAAAAACATGACTGTTAGGTTGATTGGTTTGTCTAAATTGTCCTTAGGTGTGTGTGTGTGTGTGTGTGTGTGTGTGTGTGTGTGTGTGTGTGTGTGTGTGTGTGTGTGTGTGTGTGTGTGTGTGTGTGTGTGTGTGTGTGTGTGTGTGCGATTGTTTGTCCTGTATGTCTCTGTGTTGCCCTGCGATGGACTGGCACTCTGTCCAGGGTGTACCCCGCCTGATTGCCCATTGACCGCTGGAGATGGGCACCAGTGCCCCCACGACCCTACATGGACAAGCGAGTTCAGGCAATGGATGGATGGATATATAAACACATATTTTGATCATTGGTCAGTTAGCCTCGACAATGAGTCGATTTCAACTAGAAAAAGTGAAAATATTATTTATCCATTTTCTTCTTTTTTCCCATCGAGGATGTTCTTTTTCTTGTTCCTTGATCCATATTTTTTATTTTGATGGATGGATCAAGAAAGCGATAGAAATAAGGAGATCTGGGCACAAACCATGAACAGAGACAAAGGAGTATTCATGTTGGATCATGCATGGGACAGTGTCATCAGCAAGGAGGACATGGGCAGTAGAGGGCAACACCATCCTCTGCTGCCCGCGGATAAAAGGAAGTGGCGCAATCAACACCAGCGATCTCTGATGATGGCTAGAGATACTAGCTGAAACATGTCAGGTAAATAAACTATTTTTTACTAAACTGTGTAAAAAAAGAACAAGAACATGAATAACGAAGACGAACACGGGATGAATATACAAAGGAAGATATTATTTATTTGATTCTGAACATTTCATAATTGTAGGGCTGCTCGATTATGGCAAAATGAGAATGACAATAATTTTGACTGAAATTGAAATCTCGGTTATTTAAGAAGATGCTTAATTAACACTTTATTTTTTTATTCAATCATAACATTGCACAGGATACAATCAGAAAACAGAACAGGATAATCATGAACACAATTCCTGATTCCTCCTGTAAAAGAGCCAAAACACTTTCACATAGGTTATGACCGAAAAGGTACAGGCTGAAGCTCAAAGATGCGGACACTGAAAAGATTTTTTTTTAATCTAAGAAATATTGATTACTTCTGATTATAATCGGCCACTTTGAGTTTTTCATGCAGGCTGACCATTAAAATAGTCTCCAACACCTATCTCCTGCATTAGCTTCTGATAGAAAATAGACGATGAAACTCTAGGATTTGAAAAGCCTGACAGATCTACAGTTCATCACACTGTCACTTAACATTTAACGCATTAGCTGCTTTACCACATGGCAGAAATCCCTCAAGATTCTGTTATTTGTGGAGATAAAACATCAACGTTGCAAAGAAAACTGTTTCAGTGGTCACATTGCTGTTAGCCAGTTTTTACACTTTACTAACACGTTTTATTTTCAAACAGAAAATTGTGATTGTGACATTAATTGTGACATTATGATCGACATCCCCCTTCTTGTAACTTCATTAACTGGTGCAGAGGTGAGCTGCAAACAGCAGAATTGCCCATTATGATATTGTTGTGGTGTGAAATATTAATTTAAGATGCTTAAATTCATAGCAAAGTTTATTTATTAAACAGAAGATTCAGTAAGATTCATTTCATTCGATAAACTGGAAATGCAACCCTTTTCTGTGTTTCGTTTCAATAATGAGGCAAGTTTAAAAATGAAGAAATTTATTTACTAACAATTTTTAAACTGAAAAATTTGGAACAACAATCATAAAAGGACAATTCGTAAATGGCAATTTTGATAACAATCCTTAACAGCTTTGATATTACTTGTTTAAAAGCAAACCTGTGTTGGGCGGAGCTAAAATTGAGAATGATGAGTTTTGAATGCGTGAATGAAGTTCTCAGAAGGTTTCTTTCAGAGGGAATGGAAGGTGTTCTGGATGAAATGATGTTTTGCAGATAACGGAGTTATTTTTAGAGAAAACAGCATCAAACGTCATCTGTTGTGTTCTACCTCACCCAAAACAGGACCCCTTTGCGGATCCGGACATCAGAAGGATGGGTTCATCCAAGGTGGCACTTCGGCTGGTAGGGTAGACGCAAGTGCCAATGGTCCGGTCCAGAGATGTCCTGGGTACACGGCTGTACGAAGCGTTTGGCAGATGCACGTTTCATCTTTTAACTTAACTTCAGAAATCAATGACTCTGGGAGAGTCTTGCATTAGCTGGTTTACGGTTTGTTTGTTCTTTAGCCATTCTTGTCGGCATGACAGAATAGCTTGCAGAGGGTCAAGGAGACGGCCGTTCTCCTTTCCTCGTGGTGTCGGTTGAAGAACTGGACGTGAAATCTGTGATGGTTAGTTTTACCAAACTCTCTCAGAACACCTCCCTCTCTCTCCGGAAGAAAGCTTGGTCATGCGTCAAAAAACATGTGCTGCAGTTATTGTTTATCTGAACTCTGTGTTAGCTGACAGTGAAGGTCTTCTTTGCTGAACACATCTTTAATCATTATAATAATTATCATTATAATACCCAAAGCATAATAATCCATTTCATGTAATTAAAATACCTTTATATCTGAACCAAGTGGTCATGTATTAATGATTATTTAAACAGTAAAAAAATCAAACGTTTATTAATTATTATTTCATTATTATCATCGTGGCTTGAAGTGTCCTTCTTCTGGGACGGAACAGCAGATGATGTTATGATCTTGGCTAGACATTGTGGCTCCTTGGGTTTAATCTGTGGATTCAAAGTACTGTTTGACCCAGGTGGGCAAATGTGACCTTTGGCACAAATCAGAGAACCTTCATCTCGCTACAATATGCACACACCTTGCTTCTGATTGGCTAATGGAACACGTTCTGCCATGTTTCAAAGTCACCACCACTAACATACTCTCCGCTCTTTCTCCTCTCTGCAAATAAAAAAAAGCCTTCAAGTGGGCCGGCAAAGCCAAGATGGGTGAGGCCATGAATGCAAATTCACTGTGTGGCATCACAGTGTGAGGGTTTTCAAATCCTAGCATTTTACCATCCATTTCCTGTCAGAAGCTAATGCTGAAGATAGGTGTAGTAGACTGTTTTCCTTTTTCAGCCTATAAGAGTAGTTTCACTAGCAGCTGAGATAAACCCACATCTCCAGCTTTCACTTTCCCTCTTCAATCAGCCACCACATCTCTTAAAGAAACATTAACATTACGTTACAACATTACTCACAATAACCCTTTATAAACCATTACAACATTTAGAAACATTTTCATATGTAGTCTGATGTTTCATAATAATTCTTCAAAAAATCTCATAATTTTATGATAAATTCTTTTTGTTTATTTTCTAAGCAGAGGGACTGTCTAATCCTCATTTTCTGAAATTGGCAGAAGAACACATTGATGGTTTTTTGTTTTTGTTTTTATTTCAACAGATTACTGTCGAAATAAAAATATGCATAGTAAGTAAAGGTCAGAGGTCAAAACCCAATTTCAAATACCAGTAGTTACAAATCTTAAGCTCGAGAACATTGTCATTCATAGTTCAAAAGTGTCAAGCATGAAACACTCTCACATCTGCCAGTTTGGCAGGTGCGGCTCAAAGGTTTTCACAAACACTGGTTAGCCAATCTGGGGCAAGATGTCCAAAAATCAGGGAATAAATCTCCAAAACCTACCGTCTGAAACTTAGCTGTGGTGTGGCACACTTCTAGTTCCTGAAGCTGGTATAGCAGTGCACCCCCACCAGTACAACTTATAAGGCCTTCAATCCTACTAGAGAACACAAACACATTGATTAAACAAGTGTTAGTGTTTCCTAAAGTCTGGAAGGACCTACCAAGTAACAATGAATGGGGTTTTCTATTCTATTATATTTTTAGAAAAATGCTGATTCACATAAAAGTAAATGTGGGAATTACATAATACTGCCACCTTCTACCTGAGCTGTAAGAGCACATACTTTTCTTGAGTGCCAGCTGTTTTAGACTAAAACTCTGAGGACTGGAACTAGCTTGAAGCAGAAGATTCTGAGTACTCTTGTGACAGATTAAGCCAAAGAAAATGCGGGCTTCTCAGCTCAGCCCTGGCCGTTCCTGCTCAACCTGTTTTTGTTTCACAATGTTCTGAAAGAAAACCGACTGTCTAAAGTCAGTAACTGTCAGACTCACTAAACCTCTGATAACATTAGACAATTATCATCTTGTTTCGGGGGATCATCAGCTAACTTTTCCTCATCGTATCACTCCACAGTCATGCCAAGGTAATTACTCCATGCATTAATACACATTAATAGCCTTGTTTGATTGTTGTTTTATTTACTTCACCCTCTTTGCTGTACAAGACTGTAATGTGTCCCGCTTATTTTTATTTTGGTTGCATTTGTTTTAATTATTCTAATAACAGTTTGTTTGTTTGTTTGTTTCATATTTATCTATCTTAAGAGGAAAGGTTTCAAAAATCTAAATAACAACTGACATAAATGTTAGATGTTGACCAAGGTTTACTCATTTTCTCTTTTTTTTTCCAGATATTTCAAAGTGAAAACCATCATTATCACAGTAACCCTGTTGCTGGGAATGATTTTAATGGTTGCTTATTTTAAAGAACCTCAAAGTGCTTTTCCAACTGATTATTTCACCAACACCGATCTAAAATATATATATGTCAATAGAGAAAAAGAAGAAAATTCCATCACCCCAGACCAAGAATCTCTACCACCAAAATGTGAGCCAAATATGGACGCGAGAAAAGTCTGGAACTTTAGCTCTCTTTCCGATCAGATTCAAGACTTCCTTTACTATCGTCACTGTCGCAATTTTCCTATAATATTGGATCTGCCTTACAAATGTGGACGACCTAATAAGCCCATTGACATTTTTCTATTGCTAGTCATTAAAAGTCCCCCCAAGAACTATGAACAACGAGAGGTGCTGCGCAAGACCTGGGCTAAGGAGAGGTCACATAATGGGAAGAAGATTCGAACGATCTTCATTACAGGAACAGAAGGTGATGGATTTGAGAAAAAGAGGCTGAACAAACTCCTTGTTCTAGAACACAAACAACATAGAGACATTCTCCAGTGGGACTTCAGAGAATCATTTTTCAACCTGACTCTAAAGCAGATCCTTTTTCTGGAGTGGATGAACAGACGCTGTCCCCATGCTCGTTTCCTGCTAAATGGTGATGATGATGTCTTCGCCCACACAGACAACATGGTTCAGTATCTTCAGAGCCTCGAGGACAACAACGGAACCAAGCATCTCTTTACTGGACATGTCATCAAAAATGCAAGTGCCAACAGAAAGCCGAATAGCAAGTACTTTGTTCCACTTCAAGTGTATAAAGAAAGATCTTACCCCGCATACTGCGGAGGTGCGGGCTACCTCATGTCTGGCTACACCGCTTCAGTCATTTACGAAAAGTCAAAATCTGTTGAAATTATTCCTATTGATGATGTCTACGTGGGAATGTGTTTGGCTGCGGCAGAACTTAAACCAAACCCTCATATTGGAGTGAGAACACTTGCATGGTACATTCCCTCCAAAATGATTGATAAGTATGACCCTTGTTTCATCAAAGAACTGCTTCTAATTCACAAATTCCCTCCAGCTAAGTTATATATTATGTGGGATGAGGTACACAACCCCAAACTCAAGTGTGGAGTCCAATTGTTAAATTGGTGGAATCCCTTTATTCTTAAGAGCGTAGTTTAATGCCGTGTCTTGCACCGCACCTTGGGTTGAGCCACAGTAAAATGTGCTTGATAAATACATTTGACCTTGATCTTTGAGACATTTTCATAAGATGTTGAAGGTTGAATATGGAGCATTTTATTAAAAAGCTATATTTAAAAAAAATAATACCTCCACAGGGCATTTTGAGGTGTGCAGAATGAAATTACAATATTTCCTTTAAAAGCCCTATTTTAAGTAAAAAAAATAATCAAATACTTCTTTCGACGGGCACGACACTGGGTTTGTGTTTACATCAACCAGCCAGTAGAGGGTGCCATTGCGGGTTGCCAAACAGTCCGCTCACCACAGCAAGGATGGCACTGCGGAAAATGGCGGACTCGGCAAGTCAAGCAGCCGCTTCTGAGCCCAGAAGATGTCGTTATCCTTCTCAGAATTCATCAAATTTCTATGCTTCAGGACGCTGGAGCATTGACAATAAAGCTTTTCTGATTCTGATTCTGAGAAGAGGAGCAACAATAAAAGATCTAAAATCAGAGTGATTTTAGGTGAAGCCAACAACAGATGGACCCAAATAAAAATTTTCACTTATCGGCAGCAAACCTGGTGTCCCAATGGCAGGAAACCTTGTTGTATTGTTGCAACTACAACTTCCACACACTAGATGGCATGCTTGTGTTTTGTGTTCCATACCCAACCTTTAAAATGTGGATTGATTTAATTATTTTGTGTTTAACAATATGTTATTTTTGTGTGTACATGGACAGAAGCACAATGACACTATGGATGAGAATGCCAAAGAGATTTAAGGAATAGAATTTAGAAAAAAATGTTGAATTTTTTTTTTTATAAAATTGAACTATGTCAACAAGATATATGTGGACTGAAACACCAAAATGAATTTATGAACTGAGACAAAAAGATCTTTATTATTTTTATTGTTAAGAGAAATGTATATTGCTTGAAGAAAATACTAATGATATTATACTAAGAAGGAAGGTGTTCAGGATTTTACAATAAAAGTAAAAATATCATAAAACTTGGGTGCAAGTATTATTCATGCCAAACAACTGCTTTTGTCTGGTGTGCATTTTATCTAATAATACCAATTTTATTATACAAGTAATTTATTACAATTATTAACAATAACTATATTATTGTAACGTCCAGCAATGGTCAGTTTTTAGGTACAGTTTGACCATTCAACATCTGGTCAAAAAGGAGACACAAGACTGCATGTGTCCCCTTTAAATTGGCCTGCCTTCATCCCGTCAGCTGGAGCTCAGAGTCTCTGCAGCTCTGAACACGTGATAACCAATTGTCAACAATAACATTCTCTCCTCAAGGTCCAATCTTTCAGGTCTTCATGTCTCCATATAAGGAACACTCCAGCTCGGATCAGTTGCTAAATCAAGAATGATATCCTAACTCAATATGAACTTCTTCTACAACGTATAAGCTAGATAATCATTAAATAAATGTTTATTTATTGCTACTTATAAATATAATATAATGAGATGTTTCATTAATCTGTGCTCAGTGATTGAAGTTTGAAATGAATGTTATGTTGTTTATATGACAAGGTCATCACCATTTGCACTCACACAAGCTCAAGTAAGGTTAAGTTGAACTCGTGACACATAAATAGTCTTTTACCCTAGTCAGAGCCTCCGTATCGAAGAGGGCGTGTTTCTGGGTTGTCTTGGTAATATTCCTCAACTTGTCAGCCTTTGGTTGGCTACACAAATCATAACATGAGAACATCAAAACTGGATCATTCTCGGGTGATCTCTGAGTTCTAGAGAAAGCTTCAGACGGTCCAGCTGAAGCAAAACCCTCTTTAACCATCAAAGCTTTTGACACGTCGTCAAAATCTGTTTGCACCTGCAAAGCTGATACAGCAAACAGTTCCAGCAGAACAAGCTGATATCGTTTAGACTCCTTAAGAGTCCTAGACGCACGGTTCCATCCATCTGTTGTGACCTGGAGACAACTCTAAGACAGGTTTAGTGGGGCCGCAGTTTCTTCTAGGGACCTGGGTGCCTGGAAGTCCGAGGACTTCGACATTCCGATCTATCACAAGGGTCTTCGAGTGGGTATGTAGACATGACCGATTGCGTCTGATGTGTTTTGATAACAACCACCTTCATAGCTTAACGCAAACCAAATTCTTTTACACCCAGAACTCAACTCTCCTAGATAAGGAAGTTCTGACTGACATCTCATTCACACATAGCTTTCATGCCTCACATCTAGTTCCATCCATCACAGGAAATGCTTAGTTAACTTGTCGTGTTTTAATTGTTTGTAAAATAAATCCTTACATTAATAAACCTGACTCTTTTCTGAATCAAAACAAAGTGTGTACAATTCCTTAATAAAAAGAATCCTAGATCTTCTGATAAACACAGTAAAGACCAAGCAGAGTTTAGATTCTACATTTAAACAGTATCACAGCTTATTGGTCATAAGTAGAGGTAATATATTTATTGAGCTCTTAAATCACTCAAGTTCCTACACCCTACATTGTTATATAAAATTTATATTATTAACACTAAAAGACTAGTGTTTTATTACAGAGCTCTATATTATGGCTTATTATTAAAATGGGAAAATAAGTTGAAACACTTGAGGGTATTTTGTTAAAACGAAATCACCGAAGATGTACAGAAAGGTTGGAAGGTCATTTGCATTAACGAGCTAATAACACAAATGGGACTTTTCTGTCACCCAGAATATTTGACTGAGGATGTTTTTCTGCTCAGCATCAGACTCCTTAAACCCAAACCAGGTCTGCATAACCGACGTTACTCCGTTTTCTTTACAAGCATGTCTTCATCCACCCACTCCACCTGCATCCGCTCTGTAGAAATGGAGATCTGTGCTGGGGGAACCCCCACAACCCCACAATGATTCTGCATATTTCCAGTAGTACGAACTTGAATACATTTGCTGAATGACTTCTGCAATAATCAGATTTTTATTTTACATCCAGAAAATGCAAATTCTAGATTAGATTTTACAGAAAAGAGGGGCCGCTTTGCCATCAAATTTCAAAGCCATCCCTTGTTATTTAGGCTGTCATTTTTTAACTTTGGCCACCCAAATGGCGTTTGCTGCTTCCAACGACTGGAATGAGCTGCAAAAATCATTAAAGCTCACTACCTACATTCCATTATCTACCTTCAATAATTCATTACAATCAGTAGTTTCTGATCAATGTGCCTGACTCTGAGTGCTTAAAGATTGTTTTAAGTCTGTTTTGATTGCTTGTACATATTGTATACGAGGACTGCCTTTTTTATGTCTTTTGTGTTTAACTGTTTTGTCTTGTTTCTCGATAGTTGAATCTCAGATTGAGGAGGAGCAATGTGGTTTTCGTCCTGGCCGTGGAACTGTGGACCAGCTCTATACCCTTGCAAGGGTGATGGAGGGGGCATGGGAGTTTGCCCAACCAATCCACATGTGTTTTGTGGATTTGGAGAAGGCTAATGACTGTGTCCCAAGGGGCACCCTGTGGGGGACGCTCCAGGAGTATGGAGTGGGTGGCTTTCTGTTAAGGGCCATTCAGTCCCTTTACCAGATGAGCGTGAGTTTGGTCCGCATGGCTAGTAGTTAGTCGGACCTGTTCCCAGTGAGGATTGGACTCCGCCAGGGCTGCCCTTTGTCACCGGTTCTGTTCATTACATTTATGGACAGAATTTCTAGGCACAGCCGTGGTGTGGAGTGTGTTGAGTTTGGTGGCAGGAGAATCTCGTCTCTGCTTTTTGCGGATGATGTGGTCCTCCTAGCTTCATCCAGTTCTGACCTTCAGCTCTTGCTGGGTAGGTTCGCGGCCGAGTGTGAAGCGGCTGGGATGAGGATCAGCACCTCCAAATCTGAGACCATGGTTCTCGACCGGAAAAGGGTGGCTTGCCAACTCCGGGTCGGGGGAGAGGTCCTACCACAAGTGGAGGAGTTTAAGTATCTCGGGGTCTTGTTCACGAGTAAGGGTAGGAGGGATCGGGATATCGACAGGCGGATTGGTTCAGCATCTGCAGTGATGCGGACGCTGAGCCGATCTGTCGTGGTGAAGAGGGGGCTGAGCCAGAAAGCCAGGCTCTCGATTTACCGATCGATCTACGTCCCAATCCTCACCTATGGTCATGAGCTTTGGGTAATGACCGAAAGAACGAGATCGCGGATACAAGCGGCCGAAATGAGTTTCCTCCGTAGGGTGGCCAGGCTCAGCCTTGGAGATAGGGTGAGGAGCTTGGACATTCGGGAGGACCTCGGAGTAGAACCGCTGCTCCTCCGGATCGAAAGGAGCCAGTTGAGGTGGTTTGGGCATCTGGTCAGGATGCCTCCTGGACGCCTCCCTGGGGAGGTGTTTCGGGCATGTCCTGCCGGCAGGAGGCCCCCAGGTCGACCCAGGACACGTTGGAGGTTACATCTCCAATCTGGTCCGGGAACGCCTTGGAGTCCTGTTGGAGGAGCTGGTGGAGAAGGCCGGGGAGAGGACGGTCTGGAGCTCCCTAGTTGGGATGCTGCCCCCGCAACCCGGACCCGGATAAGCGGAGGAAGACGAAGACGATGACGATGTCTTGTTTTTTTCTTGTTTGTATTAATCTTATCTGACTGTTGTTCTTTGATATAAAGTTCCTTATGTTGCTGCTGCTTCTTGGCCACATTGTCGTGTAAATTGTCAATCAACCCATCTGGTTAAATAAAGGTTAAATAAAATAAAAATATAAAGGTAAAGGTGTACTTCACTGAAAAACCATTTTTAAAACAATTATTTCTGATTATAATCAGTCACTCAGATTTTTTCGTGCAGGCTGAACAGGAAAATAGTCTCCTACACCTGTCTCCTGCATTCAGCTTCTCATTGAAATTAGAAGGTGATAATCTAGCATTTGAAAAGCCTGACAGTTCTACATCACACCCTGAATTGGACTTACCCATATTGACTCACGTTGGGGAAGGCTCTTGTTTTTAGTGTCCAGTACCAGCAGAGAACGTCTCGGTCAACAGAAACTAACTGCTAGCATCTCACTCAAATGGCAGAAGCTCCTCCAGGCATGTTATTTGTGGAGATAAAACATCAATGTCCCCGAGCAGCGAGAGTTAGTGGTAGAGTTGTGTTGCTTTTATGATCCAATCTGAGGCAGGATATCTAAAAGTCAGGAAATAAGACACCACATCCTGCCATTTGAAGCACAGATCTGATGTCACAGACTTGGTCCTGCTGGGCCAGGGGTTTGTGGGCTTTTTTGTTCTCTGAGTACAGCCTGTAAGGCGGGGCATTCAATTCCAGGTCTAGAGGGCCTTTATCCAGCACGTTTTGGTTTTACTAGTTTTTGGGACATGGAACGTCACCTCGCTGGCGGGGAAGGAGCCGGAGCTTGTGGCAGAGGTTGAGCGGTACCGGCTAGATATAGTCGGACTCACCTCGACACATTGCATTGGCTCTGGAACCTGAGACCTGGAGAGGGGTTGGACACTCTACTTTGCTGGAGTTGCTCCGGGTGAGAGGCGGAGGGCTGGGGTTGGCTTTTTGTTAGCCCCGAGACTCTCTGCCTGTGTGTTGGGGTTTACCCCGGGGGACAAGAGGGTAGCTTCCTTGCGCCTTCGGGTCGGGGAACGGGTCCTGACTGTTGTTTGTGCTTATGGGCCAAATATCAGTTCAGAGTACCCACCCTTTTTGGAGTCCCTGGGACGAGTGCTAGATAGTGCTCCATCAGGGGACTCCATTGTCCTGCTGGGGGACTTCAATGCTCACGTGGGCAATGACAGCTTGACCTGGAGGGGTGTGATTGGGAGGAACGGCCCACCTAATCTGAACTCGAGCGGTGTTTTGTTATTGGACTTCTGTGCAAGCCGCAGTTTGGCCATAACGAACACCATGTTCGAACATAAGGATGCCCACCGGTACACTTGGTACCAGGGCAGCCTAGGTCACAGGTCGATGATAGATTTTGTAGTCGTATCATCTGACCTGCGGCCGTATGTTTTGGACACCCGAGTGAAGAGAGGGGCGGAGCTGTCAACTGATCACCA